AACAGAGTTTACAATACCAAGCCAGGTCAGTGAGTATGAGTTTTTCCAAATCAGCTGCCTAATTCATCTCTACACAAGGATTTTCCACGGTTTAGAGGGCCGCATAGTATATGAAAGAACAAGAAATCCTAACAAGAAGAAAAAAGAGTGTATCGTGGACTGTTCGAACATAGAAATGCTGATAAACCCCCACCAGTACAAAGCACCGACCGATGCGTCTGAAGCGGCATGCACGCCAAAGATGATGGAGGTTGGCGATATTCCCCAAGAAATGGTGCTTTCCTTGAAAAAGAGGGAAGAATTATGCGCAACCCATAAGATTAAGCCGAATTCAGACACCCCCATAATTTCGTGCAACAGAGAATACCTGACCTACTCGACCGACATACAATACCTTCTGGAGTCCTACTACAATGAGTACTATACCGAGACAACCGAGAATCCCATTGCGAATGCAGTCATAATAACTATTCTTTGTGTCATATTTTTTGTTCTATACTGCGCTTTACTCATGGCTGTAAAGAAAACATTCTTCAAAATTCCGCCCAGAACATGACCGCATAAAAATGCACTCGGGCCTGTAGGGCTGTCTTGAAGCCTAAAACTGCATGTGTGCGCGCTCCATTTTCTAGGCGCCTCAACAGCATTTGCGCCTGTTATAGACAAATAAAATGTTCGCATTTAATTTTTGGACACGCAGAAGCGTGGAATATATACATGCACTGGCCCACATGACATAGTTGAAAAAAGCGAGCGCTTAAAAAACAATGCGATTCGTGGTTTAATAGTATTTGTTGCCGTCATAAGTCCGGGTACATTTTGATGCAGGGCTAGCATAAGTTCCAGTAAAGATTATTATCCTTTGGCGCAGCTTGCACTATGGCTGATGAAGTTCTTTGCTTTCTGTCTTGCATGTGATGCGGCATCTGAATAGGAAGTCTCCTTCATATTTATGCTTTGAGCGATCACTGTTAATTCAATTTCTTGAGCTTCAGTATCACATAAGTCCATCATGAGCCTGGCCTTCTCCAGAGTGTGTGGATGCCAAAAATTCGCCACGCCAACACAACAAAATATTTAGAAACACGCGCCCCAGCTCGAGGTTTGGTCTTTGCCTGCCTTTTTTGAAAATTGCTTTTACAATAATGCTCTGAATGGCCGTGCACGCACGCACCTTCTGCATTTGGTAAATGCAAAGCCGAATCTTCATATATAAATAGGCGTCTGCATTTTCCAGCATGAAAATATCAAGCATGCGACTTGCACATATGCTTTTGGCATATGGCTTCAGTACTATTCGCGCCACATTGCCCGACGGCGATTTCTGCGGGTCAGGCAGCGATGCTGGCCTGGATGAAAGCTTGCACTCAGACGAAAGCCAAGACATCATACTAGCGAGAGCAATTCCCTGCATAAGCAGATATAGCTCCTTAGAAGAAGAAGCTCCGGCACCTCCCCCTAGTCAGCCGAATATAGTGTATGTTTCCACACAGACGGTGCAGATGTCTGAAACTCCACAGCAAATAACGTGCGAGGTTGAGCTAGAGCCAGAACCCTCTGTAAAGTTCGTGCTGGACTCTCCAGAAACCTCTGACGACGCTGCCTCTGTGAATCTTGAGCACAAAGGGCACGGCACGACTCCAGATGCAAGTGAGCGCCCAAACCCGCTTTCCGGACGAGGGCTGGAGGACGAGGAGAGTTTGGAAACGAAACGCCAGGCGGGCAGAAATGCTGGAGCCACGTTTATGTTCTGCGAACTAGAGGAGTTCCCGGCTTTTAAGGATCCGCTGAAGGTGCAGGCGCTTCTGCTATATAACTGCAAGTTCTCTAAAATTCCTGACTCTATTGGCGAGCTAAAAGAGCTGCACTCTATTACAATTTCCAACTGCGAAATCTCAAAGATCTCCGACTCTATTTCCCACCTTAATAAGCTGAGCATTCTTCACATTGTAAACTGCACAAAGCTTGAGCGCCTTCCGGAAGGCCTGTTCCAGTGCCATGCCCTAAAGGATCTGCAGGTTACTTCGTGCCGCATATCGCACCTGCCCTGCATGGTTGGGGTTCTTTCGCTGGTTAAGCTAAACCTAAGCAGAAACCTCATTTCTGATCTCCCAGACACGCTAGGCAGCATGTCCAAGCTAGAGGTTCTAAATATATCGCACAACAAACTAGAGCAAATTCCACTGGGGCTCTGCGACTTGGCGTCCTTGAAGGAGCTAGACCTTTCGCACAATATAATATTCTTCACGAAGAAAGACAACATCGAGTATGAAAAAATGTTTACTCCAACCGTGAAGAAATACTACAACTACACAGCAGACCCTGTGGGCGCAAAAAAAGAGCTAATTCCGCTCCCCTCTTTGGTGGAGGCAAACTTGTCCAACAACCTTCTGGAGTACATTCCTACCATTTTCTTTGCATCCCAGTATATTAAAGCACTCAACTTCTCTAACAACAAGCTTGTGACTGTGGACAAGTCTGTGGACCGTGTTCTTCGGCGCGCCAGGTTCAATAAGCTAGATCTGCAGAACAACACCACGCTTGAGGACTATGGAGATCTGTTGACGGACTGTGGGTGCAAAGAAATATTTTGGCTTTTCAACGATGCAGTGCTTCTCTCAGACAGCATTCTAAAGAGGCTGGCCCAGCCAACGCCAAAAAACGAGGCATATCGCATGCTGGCTTTGTTTGAGAGAGACGCCATCATATGGAACTATGCAAAGCTGAAGACGCTTAGAAGAAGGACAGACCAGAGCATGGTTCTTGACCCCCAAAGTCCGAACTTTAACAAGGACGGGCTAAAGATCAAAATCGGCGAGTATCTACTGACGCTTAAAAACAATGTTTTTTCCGGCCTGTTCACCTTCCCAGCTCGCGTAGGGAAAGGCGACATCTCTGAGCTCGGAGAGTACTGGACATACGTGATGAGAGACGAAGTTGGGCCTGGAAACAGCCGGCTGTGGGCATGCATTTCTCCTAAATATCCATTCTCCTTAGAGCTAAAGGACCCATTTTTCAACTCTATCGGAAACGCCATTTTGGCTTTCTACACCAGATTCTCCATTAGCACTGTGGTCAGCTATATCCAAGACAAGATAAACTCGGAGTATCTATCGGTTCGGAACGCAATAAAGTATGCGCATCTGAACAGCCCTCCGCACAAGTACAATGATCTGTTCCAGTACAAGGTAGAGGATGTTAGATATGCTGAAGTCACCAAAGAGTGCGTCATTCTGCTGCTTCGAGACTTTGGGTATATCGTGGATGCAAGATAAATAAATGACTCCAGCAAAGACGTGCACATGCACACACTTCCTCCTGCTATACTAAGGCTTTATGCGTATTTAGCTTATTTTGGCTGGAAATGTGCGCAGTCTTTGAATTTGAGTTTGGGGTTTGGCTATAGCAGTCTTAGATGCCCAGTTATTTCGTTTAGCTCGTCCTCGTACCACGGGCATATGAAAGTGACTGTGTGCGTGTTTGGCTCGACTTGGGTTCTTCCTGCGTCTATCACTGGGCTGCACAGAATCCCTTTGGAGTGCGCCTTCTCAACGAGAGTGTCCATTTCCTGCTCTGGCTTGAATATAGGTGCACGCAAACTCAGGCAGACTTTCTCATAGTCCAGCTGAAACGCGGAGAGAGTAGAGCCTGGAAGAAAAGCACGGATGCATGCAGGAATTTTCCGCATTACAAATATGCGCTCAAATCTATTGCTGTGAATATATAAGTGTAAGTGAATTTCGTGCTTTTTATTCTCTTTTGTTCCTCCATGCACAGATTAGGGACTAAGTCCTTGGCTTGTTCTAACTTGGGCATAAATTCTTGTCTTTCTGTGCTGGCGCAGACTTATAGCCGGAATTTCTCCGATACTTATGTGCTGGTTCCGAATGCATCAACTGTTTTAAGTATTTTGTCGAGTTTTTTGTCGTCATTCCCTGTTCGGCGCGTCTCCATGTGCATTTTAAGGAGGCCCACTATATTTTTTAGTTCTTCAAGACCGCACATGGCCTTTATATTCTCGATGATATTGTCGCTTATGTTTTCTAATGGGACAATTCTATCATAAAGCTTTTCAATGAGTTCTGTCTGTGTTGAATGCATATGCAGTGCATGGACAAGCCAGAAAAGATCTAGCACATAACTGGCCTCAGCAGCCTCTTCCCGCTCTGTATCCTTGGCATCCGAAAGAAGCTCTCTAATTTCATCGACCAAGCGAATGGTGTCGCCTGCAAATATGGTGATTGGAATGGGTTTTAAGAATAGACTACTGCATTGGAAAAGGGACACTCCGGTTTTCTTTTTGTACTCTCTAAAGTATTCCATAGTAGCGTTTGCAGCAGCATCGCTTCCTTTTGGAGCATATTTGTGCAAGATTGCAATGTGGTTCGAGTTCATAAACAGACTACCGATCTTCTTGGGCGTCAAAGTGACCTTTGGTTTGAAGGCCTCTATCTGGCTTAGCTGCACGAGGGGTCTCAAAAAAGTGTCCACTGCACCAGAGTTATCCTCTAATATAACACTTCCCAGAGTGTTTAAGACCAGGCGAGTGGCTGGGCGATCCCTGTTTAGGTCCACCGACATGCTCTTGGCACACATACATATTCTGGGCATAATTTTACTTCTACGTGACATGCTTATAATAGGATTGAGTATAAAAACCATATTTGCTCTCCCAGGATGCACGGCTTCTACATTGTGTTTTGCAAGGTTGGCAATAGTCTGGTCTAAAATGACGTCATTACCGTTTTGTATCAGCCAGGCCAAAAAATACTTAGAAAACAAGCATCCTGCAAACACCTTATCAGATCTGTACGTTTTTTCAGCAGTCGCATATACTTTCCTTTTGTTGGCTATGCACTGATCGCTCTCATGCAGGCCCAAGGTCAAATGCCCAGGAGAAATCCTCATTTCTAGCCCCAGGGTCAAGTCAGTTGCTTGGTCTTTGTAATCCAAGCAGACATGCGCAAAAAACTTGAATTTTCCATCCTCCCGGACGTCTCTACGCCCATTCGAAAAGGACACCTCCATGTTCTTGCCCACTGAGAGCTCTTTAAAAAGGCTGGAAATATACTCCTCTATTTCTTTGTATATGTTTTTCCCTGGGTCTTCTTCGCTGTTTAGTCTTTGCGCAAACCCGTCTATTTTTTCCTGCTCAGTTTCCAGTCGGCCTGTTACTTCGGCAATCACGTACAGAACGTTCAGAGTATTAGTCCGAATTTGGTTCCTGTTTTTGCTCTTGTAGTCTATTCGGTCGCACTTTAGGTTAGACACCACTTTGTTCCACTCTTCAAACACCTTCATAGTCGCATACTTATTTGGAGCAACGTCTTTCAAGCCGAAGAAGTCTCTCAGTGGCTTTGTCTCAGGCCGGTCTTTCCTGTCGCCCAGCATCCGTAATACGTCGTACTTCTTCTCTTTTGCATCGTATGCCAGACAGCAGAACAGCGCGTACAGGCCTGTTTCCACACAGTTAGCAAAAATGTCATTTGTAAACTTACCTTGACCTTTGTTGTACGACCGCACGGACTTATAGTGCGGCAGCATGCTTTTGGTGTAAAACGGGAACCAATCAAACATCTTCTGCATTCTATAAACCTCCGAAAACGGCTGCAAATACTCTTCTGCTTTCTCCTTCTCTTCAGTTGCACAGAAGCACTGGTTGTATATGTCTTTTTTTCCTGCAGCAAGTTCTTTTACACATCCCAAGGACTCGAGAAGGGTGTGGACACACTCCAGAAATTGCACAGCATCTTCCTGGCTTTCTATGTACTCAAACACGTACGCCTGTATAAGAAACTGCGGAGTGTTTAGAAACTTGCCTCTGATAAACATCCCATATGTGTCCGGAAGTTCTTCTGGCTTGTTGTACTTCTTGAAGAAGTCCACGACCTTTGCAAAGTCTTTCTGCGGAACTGACATATGTAGTTTGGCGTCTGCTTCAAAGAACATATACTCGCTATTAGATGTTTTTTTGTCTTTTCTGACTGCTTTCTTGTACTCGCTCTCCGCATTTATGGTTTTCCACAGTGTGACTTTGGTTTGCGTTGCATTAATGGGGACTATCACGCCCTCGCTCAGAAGCAGCAACGAAGCCAGAACATAGTTCGCCTGCTCCTTCGTGCAAATGCGCTGCAGAGTGCTGATGAACGAGTCCTCCTTTGCCACATGGATCGAGAGGTTTCTGCCGTCAACAGACGGGAACATCCGTATAAGCGTGTTGTGATAGTTCTCGGAGTACTCAGAATGCTCTGGGCTTCCCACAGCAGCATTTTTGCTTGGGCCATATGCCTTGTCGTTTTTCGCCTCTCGGGTGTGCTGGTACGCCCCGCCTTCCGGATCCTTGTCATCATCAACCCACTTCAGCGTGTAGTCTGTTTCTATCTCGGGCGATAAAAACCGCTTGCAGTGCATGTATCCCATTTCTGAGTATACGTATCCGCGAATCATGTTTAGCGGGCCTCTTGGGTTTATAATCACTTTG